AGAGTTTTCCAATGGATTCTTTGGGGTTTTCTATATATAAGATCATGTCATCTGCAAACAGCGAGAGTTTCACTTCTTCCCTCCCTATTTGGATTCCTTTTATTCCTTTTTCTTGCTTGATTGCTCTGGCCAGGACCTCCAGTACTATGTTAAATAAGAGTGGTGATAGAGGGCATCCTTGTCTCGTTCCTGTTTTCAGGGGGATGGCATTCAGTTTTTGCCCATTGAGTATGATGTTGGCTATGGGTGTGTCATATATGGCCTTAATTATGTTGAGGTAGTTTCCTTCTATGCCCATTTTGTTCAGAGTTTTTATCATAAATGGCTGTTGGATCTTGTCAAATGCCTTCTCTGCATCTATTGAGATGATCATGTGGTTTTTATTCCTCAGTTTGTTGATGTGGTGTATCACGTTGATTGATTTGCAGATGTTGAACCATCCCTGTGTCCCCGGTATGAATCCCACCTGATCATGATGTATGATCCTTTTGATGAATTGCTGAATTCTAGTTGCCAAAATTTTGCTTAGAATTTTTGCATCTATGTTCATCAGTGATATTGGCCTGTAGTTCTCTTTTTTCATGGTGTCCTTGTCAGGTTTTGGTATCAGCGTGATGTTGGCCTCATAGAATGCGTTAGGAAGTGTTCCATCTTCCCTAATTTTTTGGAATAGCTTGAAAAGGATAGGTATTAAATCCTCTGTGAAAGTTTGGTAGAATTCCCCAGGAAAGCCATCTGGTCCTGGGGTTTTATTCTTTGGGATGTTTTTGATTGCTGTTTCCATCTCTTTCCTTGTGATTGGTCTGTTCAAATTGTCTGCCTCTTCTTGCGTGAGCTTTGGGAGATTGTAGGAGTCCAAGAATTTATCCATTTCCTCTAGGTTATCCATTCTGTTGGCATATAGTTTTTCATAGTATGCTCTTATAATCCGTTGTATTTCTGCAGAATCTGTTGTTATTTCTCCTCTTTCATTTCTGATTTTGTTGATTTGAGCTTTCTCCCTTTTTTTCTTTGTAAGTCTGGCTAGTGGTTTGTCAATTTTATTTATCTTCTCAAAAACCAGCTCTTTGTTTCACTGATCCTTTCTACTGCCTTTTTTTGTTTCAATAGTATTTTTTTCTGCTCTGATTTTTATTATTTCTCTCCTTCTGCTGACTTTGGGCTTTATTTGTTCTTCTTTCTCTAGTTCAGTTAGGTATAGTTTAAGATTGCTTATTTGGGATTTTTCTTGTTTGTTAAGATGTGCCTGTATTGTGATGAATTTTCCTCTTAATACAGCTTTTGCTGTATCCCATATGAGTTGGTATGGCATGTTATCATTTTCATTAGTTTCCAGGTATTTTTTGATTTTTTCTTTAATTTCTTCAATGATCCATTGCTTGTTCAGTAGTGTGTTGTTTAGTCTCCACATCTTTGTGCCTTTCTCAGCGTTTTTCTTGTAATTAATTTCTAGCCTTATAGCACTAAGATCAGAGAAGATGCTTGTTATTATTTCAATTTTTTTAAATTTGTAGAGGCTTGCCTTGTTTCCCAACATATGGTCTATCCTTGAAAATGTTCCATGTGCACTTGAGAAGAATGTGTATTCAGCTCTTTTAGGGTGAAGTGATCTATATATGTCTTTTAAGTCCAATTGTTTTCGTTTTTCATTTAGCTCCACTATTTCCTTGTTGATTTTCTGTCTGGATGACCTGTCAGTTGATGTGAGTGGGGTGTTGAGGTCCCCTACTATTATTGTTTTGTTTTTAACATCTTCCTTTACGTCTGTTAATAGTTGCTTTATGAATCTTGGTGCGCCTGTGTTGGGTGCATAGATATTTATAAGCGTTATTTCTTCTTGATGAAGTGTCCCTTTGATCATTATATATTGTCCCTCTGTGTCTCTCTTTACCTGTCTTATTTTGAAATCCACTTTGTCTGATATAAGAATTGCAACACCTGCCTTTTTTTTCTTGCTATTAGCTTGAAGTATTGTCCTCCACCCCTTCACCCTGAGCCTGTGTTTGTCCTTGGGGCTGAGGTGTGTTTCTTGGAGGCAACAAATTGTTGGATCTTGTTCTTTAATCCATTTTGCCACTCTGTGTCTTTTTATTGGAGAGTTCAATCCGTTTACATTGAGAGTGATTATTGATGCATGTGGACTTGATGCTGTCAATCTGTCGCTCATTATCTGGTTTTCCTGTGTTTCTTTTCCTGTGTGCTTTGGCCTACCCATTTAATACTGCAATTTCTTATGCTGGGTTTCTTAGATTTTTCCTTATTTATGATTTGTGACTCTGTTCTGTATTTTATTTTAGTGTCTACCCTGAAGTTTGTATTTAGAATCTCGTGTATAATATAGTCTATTCTCTGGTGGTCTCTTACTTACTTGACCAATACTGATTTAGACCCTTTGCTCTTCCCCTCCTAAATATTTATTTTCATTTCTTATTCCAACTCATGTTATGAATTTGTAGTTAGAGTGATAAGATAGTCCTTGCTTTGGTAGATTCCTTACCTTTACCCTAATGCTATAGTTGAATATTTGCTATCCTGTTCTGGTTCTATCCATCGGTCTCCCTAGTCTGTGGATTGTGACCCCTTTCTCCCTTTTTTCTTTTTTCAGGTATGAGAGCCTTCTTGAGGATTTCTTGTAATGGAGGGCTTTTAGTTACATATTCCCTTAACTTTTGTTTGTCTGGAAAAGATTTAATTTCTCCCTCATATCTGAAGGAAATTCTTGCTGGATAGAGTATTCTTGTCTGAAGATTTTTATCTTTTAAAGCTTTGAATATGTCACTCCATTCTCTCCTAGCTTGTAAGGTTTCTGTAGAGAAATCCGCTGACAGTCTGATAGGGGCTCCTTTATAGGTTATTCTCTTCTTTTTTCTTACTTCCCTGAGTATTCTTTCCTTATCTTTCCTTCTTGCCAATTTTACTACTATGTGTCTTGCAGTAGGTCTTTTTACAATGACAAATCTAGGAGATCTGAAAACTTCCTCTACACACATTTCCCCGTCAATCCCTAGATTTGGGAAGTTCTCTTCAATAATTTTGTTAAGCACACTTTCTGCTCCATTTTCCTTTTCCACGTTCTCGGGAATTCCTATGATCCTTATGTTCTTACTCCTCATTGAACCCACTATCTCTCGGAGATTTTCCTCCTTTTTTTTAATTCTTAGTTCTCTTTCTTCCTCTGTCTGGAGCCATTCAGCCTGTCTTTCTTCAATTATGTTAATTTGCTCTTCTATGGTGTCTACACGGGCATTCAGGGAATCCGTATTCTGTTTTATCTGGTCCATTGTGTTTTTCTTCTGTAGTAATTCTGTTTGATTCTTCTTTATGATTTCAATCTCTTTTGTGAAGTAACTCCAGAGCTCATTGGCTTGTTTCTCTATCTTTCTCTCTACCTCATTGAGTTTTTTTATTATAGCTGCTCTGAACTCATTATCACTTAGTTTACCTACTTCCAAGTCCTCAGGACTTAATTCTATGTTTTTATTGTTTTCCTTCTGGTATGGGGCTTTTATAAATTGCTGGATGGTTGCTGGAGCGGTTTTTCCACATGGTGGTAGAATTCGGTTGCAGTTACAGCCTGTCGCCACTAGATGGGGGTCGAGAGCTACGTGTTATGAGCTCTGTGCCTTTGGGCAAGATGGCGGCGCCCAGTGGCTTTGCCCAGAGGGAGGGGCTGCTATTCTCATGTGCCGATCTGGATTTAGATCAGTTCTGTTCTCTGGTCTCCCAAGGCCCTGGGTTTATGGGGTCCCTGTGGATGGAAGCTTCCCCCCCGCCCCCCCGTCAGTGGGTTTCCACTGAACCAGCGGCAGGAGTCCTGGATGATCCCCCGGTCGCGCAGCCCCTCTCCCGCTCCTTCCCGACCCACACAGCAGCGACCGCAGATTCTAGGGGAGGGCACGTTGTTCTCTCCTACCGTTCCAGCGCCTCCGAGGCCATAAGCAAGGTTTATGATCTCCACCTTCTTGGTATTGTAGGTCTCTAACATGTTGGCATTAGATTTATTCTCTGAAATTCAGTTTTTCCAATCTTTTGTTGTATTTTGGAGGGGAGAGAATCCCGGATCAGCTCACCCCGCCATTTTGCTCCGCCCCTTCTCCTCAGCCATCAGTGTGTTTTTAAAACTCCCCGGTAATACTAATGTAAGCCAATTTTGAGAACCAGTGTGTGGCCTCATTCCCCAAGGTTTGGCTCAAGTCCCATGCCAGCCTTATCAGTATCCCTTTCCTCTGAATCCCTACAACACTGAGTTTCTCTACCACACCACTTCCTGCCACATTGAGCCTCTCTCGCTGCTTCCAAATGTGTTCTTTTTCCATGTTTATCTAGTTAGACACAGTATACATACCAAGAAGCACTTAAACGACAGAAGCTGAGATCAAGGCTAGAGGAATTAAAGATTAGAACTGGCAAGAACTTCAGAGAGCATCTAGACCAGCGGCTCTTCAACTTAAGGAGGTCACACACTCCTTTTGAAAATCTGGTAAAATCTATGAAACTTCTTCCCAGAAACATGCATACACATGGAATTCTGCAAAAAAATTCAGGGGGTTCAGAGGCCCCTTAAATAATCCCCTTATGCAAGTGTTCCTTATGGGACTATGAAGCACAGACTAGTCTTTTTCTAACATGTAGATGAGACGTAGGAGTGAGAGGGGTAAAGGGCTTGCCTATAGTCAAAAGTAGTGGCAGGTCTGAGTCTAGACCCTGATGTCTTGATCATGCCATTAAATTCCCATGGCTTGGCATTTCTACTTACTGCCTCAAACCCAGCAGTCGAAATCTGATGATCTACCAGGCAAAAGTAAACAAGTGAAGAAGCCGTCTTTTCATATGGGTCGTTACTTGCACTTCAGGTTCCTGAGGTCACTCGACATAAACCCTTGCTCATTGACAGTTCAATGGACGTAATAACACCTATTACTCTAAAACAAATTGAATTTTCAACCTTTTTTTACCTTCACAGTTTCTAAAGAGAAAACATATCCTCACCCAAAACTCACCCGCTTCTCCTGGAGAGCTGGGCTGTCATCCCCAAGGGCGAGGCGGGAAGCACAGGACCGGAACTCTGCTAGGCCCAGGATCGGCAGGTACTCGTGGTTTAGGCTACTGTCATTAGCAATCTTCTGCTCCACCTTTCTCACTACAGGCAAAACCCAGGGCTGGCAATCATCCGTGCGATAAGCTGGAACATGGGAAAGAGTTATAGAACGGAGGAGTCTTAGGCTTTGTCCAAGAGTCTGGAACTGTGAACAGGGAGAATTCCACCATCTTCCAATCAAAACAGAAGAGTGAGAAAAATTACAATCAAGTTCATGCATTTACTGACTGCCTGCTTGGGGACAGGCACTGGGCTAGGTGCTGGGCAAACAGAAGGACAGACGTGTTTCCTATCCTCACAGAACTTACAGATCTTAAATATATGACCATTAAAAAGCAGAATGCTAAAATAAAACTGGGACATCACAGAGCCTGAGCAAATGAGAGAGTGCATGTGAGAGCACTCTGTGCACTAAACAATATCTTACAAATGCTACGTCAGTATTCCTACTGCACTGAGGTCTCCACAGCCACTGGCCCAGCAGTCTTCTTCCTTCTGCATGTCCCCAAGAGACTTCCAGAAAATGGCTAAGTGCTACTTCAGATGAATGCTGCACCTTCCAACGTAAACATGGAGAGAGAGGGGTGTGGAAGGAGGACCACTTCCTCCTCTTCTCCTATAAGAACAGAAATGGGACAAATGGCAAGCAAACTGTGATGAAGAGTCCAACGGTGGTTACACAATCAGCTAACAACCCATTTAAACACATCTTTGTCCTCTCTCTGTGCGCTGACATCAGCCAGTGTTTACCATTTGGACTCTTCACTTCACCTGCTTCACACTTCTATTGACCTACCTTTACCTTTTTCATAATATTTAATCTGGCTTACAGCAAATTTCTAGGCATTTCTTCTAGAATAAAAGTATTTTTAGTCCACTGAGTTATCCTACCACTGATTTTTTTTTCTGTCCTACCGTATGATTATTTGGGGATTATAGCTTTAGAGGGCAGCTGCTTTGGCATGCATGCAAGCCAACAAGCCCTCTGAGTAGGATTCCCGACAGGGGTCATTTGCCTCTCCACTGGAATGTTTAAGTCCAACAAGCCTATACTTTTTTTCTTTTTTTGAGGAAGATTAGCCCTGAGCTAACTACTGCCAGTCCTCCTCTTTTTTGCTGAGGAAGCCTGGCCCTGAGCTAACATCTGTGCCCATCTTCCTCTACTTTATGTGGGGCGCCTACCACAGCATGGCATGTCAAGCGGTGCCATGTCAGTACCCAGGATCCGAACCAGCGAACCCCGGGCCGCCAAAGCAGAATGTGCGAACTTAACCACTGCACCACTGGGCTGGCCCCAACAAGCCTGTACTTTTGCAAGTTATTTTGAAACTGAAAATTTTAGAATAATTCTGATTAAGTTTTACCTTGTTGATTCCTGCCCAACATTAATCTCTGACTTTTTTTAAAAAAATCACCTTTAGGGGCCAGCCCCGTGGCCCAGTAGTTGGGTTCACACACTCTGCTTGGGCAGCCCAGGGTTTCACCAGTTCGGATCCTGGGCACAGACCTAGCACTGCTCGTCGAGCCATGCTGAGGTGGCATCCCACATGCCACAACTAGAAGGACCCACAACTAAAATATACCACTATATACTGTGGGGCTTTGGGGAGAAGAAGGAAAAACAAAAGCTTTAAAAAAAAAAATCACCTTTAAGGGCGGTCAATATTGTTTACTAAACAATACATGTTGACTGTAGAAAATTTAGAACAGTCCAGGAAGTAAATAAACATGATTAACATGCAATCCCAGCACTCAGAAATAAGGACTATGAAAATTTTGATGTGCAATCTTCTAAGCTTTATCTTACATGAGTATATTCTTTTACAAAATATGCATCATATTGTCTATAGAATTTTCAACAGGCCTTTTTCCACTTATTAAATATATATTATGAATATCTTTTATTGTCATTAACTAGTCTTCTAATAGATGACACATTCACATGTCCCCAGCCCATTCTTATCCTCCATCTACCTAGTTGCAAATCCTCTCCCTCTGTAAATAACAACTGCTCAATTTCTTTTTATATCCTTCCAGAATTTCCCTACACATACACAAGCAAATACAGCTTATGTCCTCCCATTTACACAAAAGGTAACAGCATACTATACACTGTTTTGTTCCTTGCTTTTTCCACTTGAAGATCTTTTTATATCTGTGTATATGGAGTGTCTTTGTTCTTTTTCACAGCTGCATGACTGATGAATGTAGCATAATTTGGACATTTGAGTTGTTTCCAATCTTTGGCTATTACAAAACATTACTTCAGTGGACAACCTTGTACATCCATCATCTTACAAGTATGCAAAATACATCTATAAGATGCAGGGATGAAGATGGAAGAGTGGGCTAAGAAGTATGTGTATTTGCACTTTTGACAGATATAGTCAAATTGGCCTCCTTAGGGATTTTGTCAGTTTCCATTCCCACCATCAATGTATAAGAGGGTCTGCTTCCCCAAAGCCTCACCCACGGAGAGAATTTTTGTCCAAATGAGGGTACAAATGGTATCTCAGGGTAATTTTAGTTTGCATTTCTCTTACTATGAATGCAATTGGGCATATATATTTTTCATATATATGAGCCATTTATAGCACAATTTTAGTGGCCAGACAATATTCCTTCCTATGTATAATTTATTAACTATTTGTGTTGATTATTTGCTATTATAAACATTGTGATGAATGTTCTTATATCTTTACACATATTCATGAGTGTTTCCTTAAGATAAATTTCTAGATGTAAAATTACAAGGTCAAAAGTTATACAACAAATAAGACTTTCTAAGATCATTTGGATTTTGTATCTGCCTTCTATCAACTAACTCTATCCTCCAGGAAGGTGTCATCTGCAAATCTGATAAGCACATCAAGCTGGTAATAAAAATTCGGACAGAGATCCAGACTAACGCAGCCACTAACCAACCAACAGTCTCCTGGCAGATGGATCTACTCATACTACTGTCACACCGCTCACATGACGCCCCCGGCCCACCAAACTAACTCCCTCTCAACAAGGTCAAAATGTCTACTTTATCAGGTGGAGCTCAGTCTGGTTTTTCAAAGAGATTCCAAAATAATTACTTCCAAGTAAGAGCTGTCCCTGACGCAGATCACCCTATCTAAGGTCACAATGCTGCCACTGTTCAAAGTGTTCTTGGAATGCTTCCTTTGGAATTGTTTCTAGAGGCAACATCTCGTTATTTGGAATATCCTCAATGGTGCCAAACCTTCATCCTTTAAAAGTAAATTTAATTTTTGGAAACAGTACTTGCATCATGTTCAGCACAGTAGGTACGTGAATAAACTGGATAATATTAATGGAGAACAATTATAAAGAGATGCTCTCTTGTGTGAGTTTAACATGCTTTGAAAGCTATTCCAAAAGACGGCTTCCAGAAATCTTTGAGCAATTGCGGTATATGTGGATGACACTACACAGAGAGGATACTATTTAGATGCACAAGAGTGTGGGTGTTCATAGAAAAACCAGTTCTATTACACTTCAGGTCTGCATTTGGATGTTATATATATATTATATAATTATGCTGTATATATTTACAAACATGTCATTTGTAACTCATGAATTATAAATAAATAAAATATGAAAGATAAAGAAAATGCCACAGTACCACTGTTCTTACCAGCAATGTGTACTCTGTACAACTCTAAAAAATCCTGTAATACGACTGGCGGCAGCGAGGCACTGTGTCTGTATGTGACAAAAGAGAAACTGGCCAACTTACACCTCCTCTTCCTTCTTCACTGCCCAGTTTCCTCCAGCTTCAGCTCCAGATTTATTCCTAATGCCTCGTCTAACTGAAGTAGAACTTTTCAGTAAAAGATTACTTCTGTGTGATTAGAGCAATGAGGTCAAGCATTATCAACAACCACTATTCCCAGTCTCCTGGGGGGACTTTTATTCTGTTTGTTGGACCCATCAGTTTCTCATTCGTTTTTTCATTCACTCATTCATTTAACAAGGACTTACCGAATCTACCATAAACCGGGCACTGGCTAGAAGTAGCTACGCAGAGATGGATGAGAAAAAATAAAATACTGCCTGCCCTCCAGGAAACAGAGAGCACAGAGCCCCGAATTCTCCTGAGAGGGGTCAGGGAAGATTTTACAGAGAATGAAGCCTGAAAGATGAATAAGAGTTTAAAAGATAGACAAGGAAAGAACAGCGTTCCAGAGGGAACACCTGTGCCAGTTCCCAGAGGCTTGGAGCCATGAGGCCTTTGAGGACCTGCATTAGAATGGCTCAGATGGAGGCTCCATGGAGGAACAGTGGGGAGTGGCTCAAAGAACCTCGGAGTCTCCTCTAAGGAATTTCGTTTCAATGCGGAAACCACTGAGAGCATTTAAGCAAGAGAGCGACATGGCCAGCTATACATTTTAACAGGATCATTCAAGTGACATCATGGAAAATAAACTGGAGAGGAGGACAGAGACAGATACCGAAGTCAGGAGGCTATTGCAATAATCCAGAAGGGAAATAATGAGGTCTCGAAGTAAGGCAGTGGCAGCAGGGATAAAGAAAAGAGGAGATATTCAGAGTAGACTTATAAGGTAGGAAAGACAGAACCTAATGACCAAATAAACAGACATGGAAACGAGGCAAGGGTCACTAATGACTCCAAGGTCTCTCTCTAGTCTAGACATTGACTGGTGGTGGGGGGTCAACCATGATATAGAACATAAGAGGAAGAAAAAATTAGATTGAAGAGAAGGTGGAAAAGATGAGTTGTGTTTTCAACAGGTTGAATTTGAGGTGGTTGTAGGATGTGTCCGGCAGACTGTAGCAAGTATGGGTCTGGCATTCAGGGTAGAAATCCAGGATGGAAAGAAAGATTTCATAATTATAGACATCGACCATGGTAGCTAAAGCCATAGTAATAACAAGGATTTGCTGAATACTTAGAACATACAAGACACTGTGCTAAATACTTTACATTTTTTTTTACTCTTTTCATTCTTTACTCATTTAATTCTTATAACGACTCACAAAATAGATACTGTGATCCCTACTTTAGGGATCTGGAAACTGAGGCCAGAAAAGTTGAGCAAGCTGCCCAAGATCACAGGGACTGTAAGAGCTAGGCTGTCATACTATTAAGTTCATGGATCCATGTGCTTTTTTTTTTAAGAGCCAGAGATGTCTAGGGAAAGCCCAAAGCAAGCAGGCCCGAGAGATTTAAAGGTCCTTTATATCAGCATGCTCCCCAGCTCTACTCCCCCTCTCCCTGGATACAAGCCTTTTTAGAGTCACACAGGTTTCAGGTGAGTGCAACAGTCTAGCTTTCCAGAAGAAAAGAAAGGAAGAACATAGAGAATTAAACGATCAAACCATCACCTTCATCCTCCTCCTAAGATCTCCACTTCCCTCACCCATCCCCACGCAAGAGCCCAGGCACAGATGCCTCTAAGCCCTCCTCCAACTAGGGTCCCGGGGAGAGGGCCAGGGGGTACTCAGAAATACCTGATACGGCACCTTTCTCCAACAATTTTACTTGAAGATGCTAGGAACCCACATTAAAAACAACAAAGATTAAAGTAAGCGCAGTCTACCTGGAACAAAAGAAAGCTAAGTTTACACGATAAATGGACTGGACTGTGAAGAAATGTGTTGCTTCAGGCTGCATCAGGCTGGACCCATGGCTCCCCTGCCTTTAAAGCCACTTGCCTGAAACTCTGAGAAGCACTAAAATAATTAACTCAGAGAGTCATTCTTAACAGTGGAAAATGTGACGCTCTGCTCTGTTTAACTGTAAGGAAATTACAGAAATAGTCACAGCAAGAAGAAAATCCCTAGGGAAAAGATCTGCAAGTAGGAACTAGCTAATGAGATTATAGTTGCAGTTTATTCTAAACCTGTCCATCATCACTAGAACTTGAGCTGGATAACCTCCAGTGCGCTTTATCTTAACTCAGGAAAAAAAAGAGTATCTACCCCAAAGTCAAGTGATAAATTACGTTTCCTTTACAAAGGATATACTTTGGGACGTGCATTAAAAGAGTTAGGACACACAAAAGCTGGAAAGAAACCTCTTATTCTATTCGAATTATACCCTTTCTGAGCACCACCCATCCACGTAAAAGTCGGGTCACAGTGATCATCAAAAACAACATTTATATAACACTTTTCATTTATATGTCACATTTCATACAATTATTCATTTAAACCTCAGTCAACTGATGAGGCCAGTAACATTATTATCCCATACCATAGTCATGTAATATGCTAGTGAATCTTAAGAGTCGAATTTTAGAGAGAAGTCATTCAGTCCTGGCTCCTCATTTAACAGACTGAGTCCCCGGATGTTAAGTAACCCTCCCAAGGTCACACTGCTGGACTTCAGGGCTGGGCCTGTGCCCAGATCTCCTGGCTCTTCCCACTCCAGTGCACCAGCTACCTCCAGAACACCTGAAGGTACCCAAAATAGAGAAGGGGGCAGAGCCGCAGAAGCCTGAGAGACCTGGCCTGGAGTCCCAGCTCTACACCTATGGCCACATGACCTGGGGCAAACTCCTTCATCAACCTGGCCTTCAGCTCCCTTATCTCTAAAACAGTTACAATAATAAACAACCCTCCCAAGTAATGGAAAGTATCAAATGAGATTAAATGCATAAATCATTTGCTCATAGTAAGGAGACAGAGTTCCTGGGTTCCTGGACAACATGACAAAGGCACTGTCACAGTTGAGGTGACCATCTGAGCTGCAGGCTATGCTTTCGAGCCAATCACTTCTGGCCTGGGCTGGCAGCACGTTTTTTTCTCTGCATGAGCAGTTTATTTCTGAACCAATGTCAGAAATTATCTCATTTTGCAGTTCTTGAGCTGAAAATTTTTATTCAACATCTTTTAGAAGAACTACCCAAAGAAATGCCAAAACAATAGTAACAGCTAATACTCACCTAACCCCTCCTTATGTACCAGACACTATTCTAAGCACTTTACATGTATTTAATCCTCACAAAAACCCTGAAAGACAATTTAAAGGTAATAAAATCTGAGCCAATAAAATCTGAGATTTTAAAAAGATGCATTTGGATCAGCATCACTATATATCTGGCCCTAAAGAAATACTTGGAGATTTTGGACTGGATTTAAATTAAGAGCTTGAATGGTGCCCATTCCAAGCCAATGCAAGGCAGTCTTTCAATATTTCTCCCACTCTGCTGCCTCCTTTCCTTCCATGGGTGAAACTATATAGTACTAACTTCTTTTTAAATGCTTTATTAGGGTAAATTTCAAATATATATAAAAGTTGCAAGAATAATATAATGGATGCCCATGTATCCATTAGCCAGTTCCAACAAACCATACTTTTTAATGGCTTTTTTCTTACCCCTCTCCCATTCTCCTTGGTGAAGATTTTTTTTAACAGGTGCTATGCACAGACACAGTCACTGTGGGAAGCCTGACTCTAAACCTCCTTCTCGCCACCCTCTGCTACAAACAGTTCTATTTTCTCTTTCCAAAATTTCTAGTCCATTTACTGCAAGTCTGTTCCCTGGCTTAGAACATCATCCTACTCATTTTCTTCTCCCTGGCTGGTCTTTGTACATTGTCGAGTGTCTGTGGGACTTCAAACACCCAAATGATGGTGACAGAAATAACAAAGTCATCAGAGAAGATTAAAGCAATTTCAGAGGCACTCCAGTCCAAATTTTTTACTCGGCAGGAGGGGACACTGGGACCCATGATCTGAGCTGTCTGAAGTCCAAGAAATAAAAAAACAAGAAAAGAAGACAAAACGTGTGGAAAGTGACGTTCTGTCTACACTCTTTCCATTCCTTTCCACCATCTCTACCCATTCCTACCATATCCTTGAGAGCTAAAACATTCTTCCAAGATCCCCCCCAGGCAGCATTAACCTATCTCACAAGGGTTTCAGATCTCTATTACATAACTTAACACCTGCTGATTTCAAATTCTTTGAGGCCAAAACCAAGCCCCAGTCTTGCCCCACAAGGCTTGGTAAAGAACCTGACTGATCTCCGGTAGCTACCCAAATATTTACCGACCCAAACCAGAGCTCCCAAAAGATAAGAGTTCTCCTTTAACCATTTCTCAGCGACCAAGACTCCAAGCCTATCAGGCTTCCTATTTTCCTCCCTTTCCTTACAATCTCTGGCTACCCCATTTCTTAAGAGGCGAAAGGACGTAGTATAAAGAACGCAGAATACGGAATCGGAGCAGCTGAGTTTCTGACCTGGCTGCTACACCTGTTCTGTGCGACCTTGGACACATCTCCCTTTTCCAGAGACTCCATAAGACCATTCGAAAAATGAGCAGGTTGAACTAAGCCTTGTGGATCTTGACTCCTCTCCGGGGCTCCCTTCTCCAGCCAGCGCTAAGCTGGGCCTCGGCCTCTCCCACAGTCCCCCCACAGCCCAGGTTAGGTCCGCTCCACTCCTCAGGCTGCTCACCCTCCGGGGCACTGCATCGTTACCTCCTACTCCCAGGTTGACCTTGCGGGGGTCCGGATCCTCCCGGAAGTCAGCAGTGAGCTTAAAGACAAGGACCGGCTGGGCTTGCGGAACCTCCACAAAGATTGAAGGAGACGTCATGGCGAGAGAGCACGAATCGGCCGAGAGCTTTCAACAAGCGCCTGGAGCCGTTCAGTCCAGTCCAGCCACCACGGCCGGAGGAGACGCTCACCTTCACATAGCCGGCGAGGGCGGGCCCACGGCCTCCAATGGTCGGGCTGCGTCCGGAACTTGGCAACGCAGTTCACCAATCGCGAGCTTCTGACACAGAAAGGACAGGAGGGAGGAGACAGTATTAGCCAATCCAAGAAGAGAATCTTATCAGAGGCCGGATGCAACCAATGCAAGGTACGCCGGCTGAGATGGGGACGCGGGCTAGGGTTGATTGGCAGTGCGTGCTCCTATCGCTGAGGCCGTTATTCCTTGGGTCTCCCGGTGCTGAGGGGAAGATCCCAGCGGTCGGTGTGTCCTGTAGGTGGTCTCCGCGGCCTTCGAGGGCCACGGGACGGGGGGAGGTGGCCGGCGGGAATTCCGGAGGACTGGTCTTCCGGTAACCGCGGACCTGGTGCTCTCGCTGCCAGGCCCAGCAGCGCGCACGTTCCTGGCCCGGCCTGGCAGCCAAACCCTCGGGACGCTAGTCCTGGGCCAGAACCTGCAGCCCCGGAGCCCGCGCGGGCGACCTTGACCCTCTCGGCTGTCTCTTTGCCCCTAAGGGAAATGTGGGTGAGCCGCCTGCCTTGGTCTCAGACAAGGAACATCCTAATAAAAGTGAAAGAGTGACCGGGAACTCCTTTCTGCCGCTCTTAGAGTTGGAGATTCTTGCTCCCTTTTCCTTACAGAGAAGGCCTGGTCCTCAGGGACCGTCAGGATCTGGGCGCCGTTGCCCTCTCCAGCTTTCCTCCCACGCATGCACTCAACCAGATCTGGCTGTCATCAACCGGCTGGTACCTGAACTGCCTCTTCTTTTAGTCAGGCTGTTCCTTTCCCCTGATTATTCATTCCTTCCTTCCTCCGCAGCCCCCTCTCCTCCCGGTGACCTCTAAGACCCACAGCAAATGCCTCCTCCAAAAAGTCATTTCCTTAACCTTCACTCAGGTCAAAATCTGTCTCTTTCCTGTGCTTCTGTATCTTGGCAGTACTTCCGTTTTAGAAAATATTCTAGTTAAGAACCCAGCTGTGGAGCCAGACTACCTAGGTATAGATTCTGGCTCTGCCACTTACTGACTTGGGCAGGTTTAGGCAAGTTAACCAGCCTCTCTCTTCCTGCTCTGTAAACTGGAGATAATACTATTTTCCTCCGGGTTGTTGTGGGGATTATGTGACTTAATATGTATAAAGTGTTAAGTTGCATGCAGTAAGCACTGCCTGCATGTTAGCTATTGTTACCATTGCACATCTGCCACACCCCTTGTAGAGGGCAAGCTTCTTTTGGCTAAAGATCTTACCCTGTTTAAGTCTCCCTCAGTTTCTTTCGCTTAGTAAGTATTCAATAAATGGTGGAAGGCGGAGTCAATTCTCTTGGTGTTTCAGAAGAAAACAATACCTCAGCCTTTATTCACTGCATAATACCACAAACCTTAAAGTGAATTTTCCATTCAAAATAATAAACATATGCCAAAAGAACTTTATGCAACACTTGCCAACATTTGTATCATCCACTTCTTTTCAGAAACTTTGCCTCTGGTTTTAAAGTAAACTGCCCGGTGTTTCATTAACAACGCTTTCTTCTCAGAATTGCAGGTTCAGTACTGAAGCTGAAGTGACCATGAACTCTGAGTGCTTCCAAAAGCAGAGGCAGAGGAGTGTTTCTATAACCCAGCCTTCCCAGAATTTGACTTCAAAGTATGATCTCCACAGCTTTGGCCAGCAATATCATGGTCACTCCTTACGTCATTCCCCCGGGAGAAAAACAATCCTAGGTTAACTACACGTTTAGCTAAGTCCAAATAAATATTTATTGACAACCTAAGCATCTCCATAACCAAGGCTGACGGGGCAAAGAAAGTGCCCTATGTGGTTTTTCTTTGTGTCTCTGTAATACTTGTTCTAAATTTTAGAAAGGGGCAAACGGGTCTTGTGCATGGGGAGGAGGAGGACAGCATATTATGTGGGATCCAAGTCTCAAACTTGTTTGCTCAGGAATATCAGGTTCGTGGAGATTGCTTTCAGTTCAGTTGCCTTCTTTCTTGAGCCCTGCAGGCTGCCCCTCTAAGGAAAATGCCAGTCTTGAAATAAACAAAATGCTTCCCAGGCCATCGCTAATTTTAACACTTTGACAGAATTGGCGCAACACTGCCCCCTTGCTGAATGGTAATTCAAGCAAAAGACTCTTGAGAGGCCAACATTGCCCAGACAAGTAGGCAGCCAGGTAAAGTGAGTGTCCAGGGAAAGGGCAGTAAGAGTCTAAAGAAAGAGGCTGGCGTTCTCGCTGCCTCCTGGCTTTGCTATGAATGTCTGTTCGTGTCCTCCCTACCATCTTCCTTCTGCCTTTTTGTTTTTTTTCTCGTTCTTTCAAAAGAATTGGAAGAAAGGAACTGAGAACCACAAAGCCACAGCTTGACCTGGGGTGAATTCCATTAGAAAATACTCTTAGAAATCTGAAGCCTCAGGGCTGGGCAGCGCTGCCCCACAGCATAAGAGGCAGGCCAGGCCAGGGCAGCAGCGGGCACTGCATGGACCTCTAAGCAAGTGCACACCTGCTTACTGTACTCGATCTTGCCCCTGATACCCAGAAGGTCTAAATTTAGGAACAAGTCAGGGGAGGGAGGAGTTTTTCACACTTTGCACTCGAGCACAAAGTGCTTTGGAATGTTTATATTTGGGTGGATGCTGTCACTAAGAGTAGGATATTATTTAGAAGCTGAGTTGTGGGCTGAACAAATGTTTCTTTAAAAACCAAAGCAGTAAGAGGAGATCTGTTCAAGAGTCACCGTGTAGCTGAATAGTAGGCGATAAGATAAGTGTGGAACTCCTGCGGTGGTGGTGGTCCCACCATATTGAGTTTACTGTTGCTAACAAAGTGATCACTTGCAACTTCGCCCCTCAAATTAACTGGCTTGTTTCCTAGTGTGCCTTGGAGGAACCCTCTCCCCTTGCTTCTCTTCTCTTGCTTCTCTCCTCTTTTCCTTGTGTGTGACTCCTCTTCCCACCCGCACACATGGATTGGACCAAGTAGGGTCTCTTGCTGCTTCCTATCTCATAGAAGGGCTTGTCCAATGAGGCCTGGAGTAGACAGGGTCTAATGTTAGTTCCTGAACTGGCCACCCAAATGAGCATAACTTCATGTGTGTATGTGTGTGTGTGTGTGTGTGTGTGAGGAAGATTGGCCCTGAGCTAAGACCTGTTGCCAATCTTCCTCTTTTTACTTGAGGAAGATTGTCGCTGAGCTAACATCTGTGCCAGTCTTCCTCTATTTTATGTGGGATGCTGCCACAGCATGGCTTTCACGAGTGGTGTATAGGTCCGCTCCCGGGATTCAAACCTGTGAACCCCAGGCCATCAAAAGAACCTTTTTTTTTTAAAGGTTGCAGCTTCTTTTAAAGATATTTTTAATTTTCGCTTTTTCTTCCCAAAGCCCCCCAGTAGATAGTTGTGTATTTTTAGTTGTGGGTCCTTCTAGTTGTGACATGTGGGATGCCACCTCAGCATGGCCTGACAAGCGCTGCCATGTCCACACCCAGGATCTGAACTGGCGAAACCCTGGGCCGCTGACGAGAAGCATGTGAAATTAACCACTCGGCCATGGGACTGGCCCCAAAAGAACTCTTTTTTTAAAGGTACTGAGAACTTTGTATAATAGATATCAACAGGATGACAACTATTGATGGTTTTATCTACTTGTTGAATGTAATTAAGTTCCAGGGCACCATTCAGAAATTGTGGAGCTATATAGATTTTGTGCTTTACTTAACAGGCAGTATAGCATAATGGTTAATTCATAGCCTCTGGAACTAGATTTCCTCTGTGTGCCCCAGTTTCCTCATTTGTAACATGGGGATAATAATAGTTCTACCTCATGGGGTAGCTGTGAGGATTAAATGATCAAATGTAAAACACTTTGAATTGTACTGGACACTAGTAAGTACTCACTGTGTTAGCTGTCATCATCATCATCATCATCATCATCATAGATGTTTACAAGCACTTGCCTTTGAGATTTGCTTAGTTTGCCCACTGAATGATGAGCTGCATAGAAGAACAATGCAGAGAATTTGCACCTGCTGTCGAATTCTAGTTTTTCCTCTTACTAGTTTTGAAACTTTGGGTAAATTAATGTGTCTGAGTTTTAGTATTCTTATCTGTAAATTGGGACAAAAAGATTTTTTCTTAGTGTTGATACACACACACCTTTAACACAGTTGTAGAAATCACTATTATTGTCATAGAGATTGCACTCTAGTCCCTGCATCGCTGTAGGTAATGGTTAGGCTAGCTCTCTTTGAAGTCTGTCTGCTCTGGCCTCTTGCAAGTGTATACTCTGAAAGTTTTTAAAAATGGAAAAGAAAGCAGAGACCACAATTTTTTAAATATTTAGAGTTCTCCAAGAAGTCTTTGTAGAGATCTGTAAAATCTCAAAGTAATTTAAAAGTAACAACAGATTTAATAATTAATTAAAATGTAACAGTGTTAATAATAGCCCTTTGTACTTCTATACTGTCTTTTTCTTAAAAGCAGAAAGTGTTTTAGAAACACTATTCCACTACTCTCTCAATATCTCCAGGTGACTGTTGTCTCCAGTCAAAGAACCACAAGGACAGAAATGAATCGCCTTAGCAGAAAGCTAATGAAGACACTCCAAGTGACAGAAGATCAAGAAGAGCACAGACTTAAAGTCAGAAGAAAATTTCCTCTCGTTGCCCTGTTTCTCCCTTAATGCCTCACAAATACAGCCTCCTACTTCTAGAGCAATGTCTTAAGCTTTTTTCCCCCCAAGTTGTAACATCCTTTATTGTGGGGTCTTGTCCTAAAGTCTTATGCTTTGGTACGAGATGAAGAAAGATGAAGAAATAATGAAGGAAACAAATTCAATGTGTTTGCCAAGAACACATTTCTTTTAAACAACTCCTAAAGGGATAATCTAAAACAATGTAATAGATTGTCTTAATCTATTCCGCATAGCTAGTGGGAGTATAGAAGTGTATTGCTAACATTTCAACATCCAGCAGTAGAGGGCAGGACTGCCCTTCTTTTGCAAAAT